CTGGTGAAGGCTTTTGTACAAAAGCAGCTACACTTATTGGAAAAACTGAAATGGAAGTATTAGGAAGTCTGTTACCGAGCAGCCAGTGTTACTTTCGGTTTCTACTGGAAATATTTTTCAGCAAAATAGGCTCCATTATATCATTATTTCCTCTTATGCCATCCATTTGAGCTGTTGTTGTTGTTGAAAGTCCTCAAGTGATGTGGTTACTGTTATTTGATACGGTTTTTTTGTTTCTGATTTGGAAGAGCCAGTTCACTCGCGGAGGTTCGAAGGGAAGAATAGTCCTTGTTAAGAAATAGATTTTATTTGAGCGAAGATTTTAAACATCGATCTGAAAGCGATTGTAAACAAGCCAGTTTATATATATATATATATATATATATATATATATATATATATATATATATATATATATATATCAAATATGTGGTGCAGTTTAAGTTATATGACAATGAATCATTCATACAAAAAGCAAATTAGTAAAGTTAATGATATAAAATGGCGAAATCCCTTCATGAAATAAATTTTAAAGATACATTAACCCACTATGCACTCGATGAATGATATGATCCATTTTATAACATTAATTTTACTAATTTAATTTTGTATGAATGATTTATTGTAATATATGATCATACAGTTTTGTTCATATATATATATATATATATATATATATATATATATATATATATAGGAACAAGACTGTATGATCAATATCAGGGAGAGACCGTATATAAATATAACTGTGAATATTTAGGTCAACACCCAGCGGCAACAGTCGATTTCATGCTTAAACGCAATCTTCAGGCCAAAAGATTGCGTTTAACCATGACATAGACTGTCGCCGCTGGGTGTTAAACTCAGTATCCATTTTTACGCATGTATATATATATATATATATATATATATATATATATATGTATGTATATATATAACAGACGAGAAATAGAGAAACAAAATTAGTATGGTTAGTCATGACTCAGATAAGTTTTTATTCGAAACGTGTATGAAAATATTCTCAAGACAAAATTCAATTTCTTCTACGTAACCGCGATGCCCTGCTCTCTCCCCACCCCGTGTCTTTGTTACTCTCTCTCTCTCTCTCTCTATCTCTCTCTCTCTCCTTCTCTGTATATATATATCCCCATCCCCGTTTTTAAAATGCTAATATAATGGAAACGTTAATAATAAAAAAGAAAAATATAACACTATATGAACACGGTCATAATATGCTAACCTCTATGAACACGGTCATAATGTGCTAACCTTGTTTAGAAAATAATAATAATAAATCCTGTCATTCTAGATACATACAGAAGAAACACCCTTGATAATGACTAATAGAATAACCGAAAGCGCACGGATATATGGAATATCTCGTTTTTATATACTTTATATCCAGAAATGTAATCACTTATACGAACACTAGAAAAACTGAAAAAAAAAACGTTTAAAAATAAGAAAACTTGAATAAAAAAAAGCGTACCTTAATAGTGGCCTTTAAATAAACTTTGGTAAAAGAGGGATTGTTTCCCAGTGCTTATATATATATATATACATACATACATACATACATACATACATACATATATATATATATATATATATATATATATATATATAGAGAGAGAGAGAGAGAAAGAGAGAGAGGGAGATTCTATTCATGTATATATATATAGAGAGAGACAGACATATTTAATACAAGTTCAATGTTTGTCACTTAGGTCATTGATGTGACATTCAGCATATATTAGTTTTTATGAGTATTTTTAGAATTTTTCCTCCTTCTATAAGCAGGAGGAAAAGATTCTAAAACCAACAGCCTCATAAACACTAATATATCCCCCACTGATCAAAGTAAAAAACTAAAATTAATTATATACTATACTAAATTTAATACAACCAACCTAGTCATTCATAACAACTCTTTTCCGTGAACTAGCGTCTTACAAAAGACTAACATCAATTTAAATGTCCTTTGAGAGATTCCATCTCTGATAAAAATGTTAATACTTATGTTGGTTTTACAACAACGACGATGACAACAAAGTTTACGTTTCACTTGAACGATCATAGTTCAATCTCAGAACATTTAAAGGGACACTTATGTCCACTTTCACAGTTTAGACAGATATTAGTCGAAAATACATCAGCGAAACATCGAGATAATAATAAGCCAAACCTAAAATTCTGGTAGCCCATTATATGAGAGAGTTAAAATAAAGAAAATTAACTACGAGTATAGCAACAAAATTCTTAAATGTTTGTAGGAGCAAAATGTTATATAAAAAAAAGATACTAAATTAAAATACTACAATTTAAAAATCTTTTTTGAAAAAATCGCATAAGTTAAGACCATTGCATAGAAGTAAAAAAATATTTAGAATTTATGGTGCTCAAACATAACGCATCCATAGGCATGAATTCCCTGAATATGGTCTCAAATGGGATTGAAAGTACTTGGGAAAATAAAATAACTTGAAAGATAATTTTGAAATTCTTTTTAATTCGTGGACTTGAAACGATTAAAAGTAAAATAGACACAACACATCTAAATTATTTAAACAAACGTGCTTAAATAAAAATATGATGCGAATATATATATATATATTTAGGCAACAAATTCTCTTTTAGGCTTATCCGATTAAATATATTACATAAGTGAACAGTCTGTTTCATGTTAGATGCAATCGTCAGGCCACGAGTGCTGTTATTTTTCTCATCTATTTATATATATATATACGGGTCAGTGGTGCATTGTGGGTAGTCTATTTTGGCGGTTATTTTACCGGAAGTCGTTTATTTATTTATTTTGGTTAAATTATTTGGCTTGTTTTTATTTGTTTTTATTTTTTATTTTTTTTATTTCTTATCTTATTTATTTATTTATTATTTTTTAATCAGTGTTTTTAGTAACGTAGTAAAAATTTGTTTATATCGCTTATTTAATAGTTTTGTTTTGATTTGGGAAGGTAATTAAAGCGATTTATTCAATTTTAGGGTTGATTATTGTAGTTTATTCTAACTATTATTTTGGCGGGAACAGTTTTTAATTTGTTTATTACTTCATGTATTTATTTGGATTGATTTTCTTTATTTGTTTTTTTCTAACGGTTAGTTTATCAGGATCAATTTGTTAGTTTATTTATTTATTTGGATGAATTTAGGCCAATTTATTTTACTTGTTATTTATTTGTTATACTGTATATTTACCTTTTTCGGTTTTCGATTTTTAAGTAACGTAGTATTTTTTTATCATTATATAACAGTTATAGCTTTTTTTTTTTCGTCTGATTTTTTGGTTTGATTTTTATAGTCTAACTAATATTTTGGTCATAATGGATTGCTAATTTGTTTATTATTTATTTGGGTTAATTGTTTTTTTTTGTTTTTTTTATTCTATTTCGTCTATTCTAACAGGTGTGATTTGGTAATTTGGGTTAATTAATTTTGCTTATTTTATTGTTATTTTGTTTATTTATTTATTTTTTTTCCGTTTTTGTTTTTTAAGTAACGTAGTAAAAATTTGTTTTCATGTCTGCATTTTGAGATGAGCTCGGATCTTTTATTTAATAATTTATTTTGGTCTGGGAATGTAAATTTTGCAAGTGTTTGATTGGATGTTGTAGGTTGATGATCTTTTCCTTATTTTCCAAAATATTTTTGGTGTGATGTGCGTTTTGTTTTTAATTTCCGAGATATACTTAGAAAGCATTGTGCTGTTCGTATATATTTACTATTTGTGATAGATGTCTTGTGTGTGTAATTTCTTTGTTTCCAGTGTCCTTCAGTTACTCCTGTGTATACTTTTTCTTCATTATCTGGTGATTTTATCGTGGCTTGGTATATTACGTCGTTTTGTAAACAATTACCGTTTAAGGGACATTCGTTCTTTATTCTGCAGTTGCACGTGGGTTTAATTTGTTCGTGTGGTTTGTTGATAATTTTCTTGTTGTGCTTTTTTTATTATTTGTGCCATGTTCTCAGTGCAACTGTAACTGATTTTTCTTCGTTTAGGTTAGTTTTTATATCTATGATGAATCTGTTATTTTTAAAAATCTCTATTTTGCTTATTTAGTTTTGTCTGTGTTTTCTTTGTTACAGTTTCTTAAGATTATGAGACCGTCGTCTCTGTAGAGTCCTGTGTCATTTCTATCTATTATTTTGCTTAATTCGTGTAGCAAGTAAATACCTACGATTTCGCATGTCTCTGCACCGTCAGAGCCACGGAAGATCGATCGATTAGCAAGGTCAATTTTACTACTTTTAAACTTCAATCTTCCATGAATCTCTCACGTACATGCAAAGTCCGACAATTATTTTAAGACATTTTTTTTATGTTTATACATTCTTTACATTTGGATACGCTTTGAGCAGATATGAATGTTCGTGAGAAATTCATGGAAGATTGAAGTTTAAAAGCAGTAAAATCGACCTTGCTAATCGAACGATCCTCCGTGGCTCGATCGATTAAGGCAAATGAGGCTATATGACGGTTCCGTATAAGATACAGGTTCGATTCCTGTCGGAAGACGAATATTTTCTATGACAATTTCACGGACATTCAGGTCGGTAAATGTTAGTAATACTGTTTATTATAAAACTGACTATTTAGTCAAATATTTGTATCTATAAAAAGAATGTATAAACATAAAAACGTGTTAAAATAATTGTCAGACTTTGTCATAATGTGTGACGTCATTTGTTTACATTTGGATACGCATTGAGCAGATATGAATGTACGTGAGAGATTCATGGAAGATTGAAGTTTAAAAGCAGTAAAATCGACCTTGCTAATCGAACGATCCTCCGTGCCTCTTTCTCTCTCTCTCTCTCTCTCTCTATATATATATATATATATATATTCGGCATGCGGAGAATATGCCAAAAGTGTTTGAAGAAGGAAAGAAAAGACAGTCTTGAAGATGGGAAAAAGTAAGTATTTGAGTAAAATGGAATTTCTTTTTATTTCTTGCATGAAAGGAGAAGAGTGAAAATTAGGCAATTAGGAACATGAAATCGAATGAAGTTTCCTGGTAGTCTGATAACGAAAGGCCGAAAGGAGAGAGAGAATTCAACTGAAAATGATAAAGGAACATAAAATAGAAAGAAAAAAAAGATCGATGATATATATGCAAATGATACTTCGGTGAGATAGATAGATAAAGAGTGAGTGAGGTGGGGTGGGGAGAGGGGGCTGATAGCGATAATGTGAAAAGTGTAAGTGGGTGCCTTGTCATATTCTCAGACAGGCAGGCCAGCGAAGGAAAAGGAGATTTTCGAGCGTAACGAACAGTGATAGTGGCCAGTCACGCGAGGTCACGTCAGGCCACGTCTCGCGTGACTTGGAGTCGACACATAACCGAGGCAGCAGCAGCAGCAGCAGTAGTAGCTGCAATGGGAACTGTAATGATAATCCGACGAGATGGAGATTTCGGTGGTCGCCGAGGAGAAGGAGGGGGGAAAAAAGAAGGAGGGCAGAATAATCAGATTAAGAGAAAGAGAGAGAGAGAGAGGGAGAGAGAGAGAGAGAGAGGATGAAAATGAGTGGGAGAGAAATAAAACGTATAAAACAAAAAGTAAGAAATGACGAAGGAAGTAATTAAATGAAAATAAAGAAAGTGAATACAGATTGTGAAGAGGGGAAGAAGAAAAAAAAGCACGAAAATCTAAAACAAGGAAAGACAGTTCAAAAGAATGAAGGAAAAAAAAAGAAAGAAATGAAGGAAGGAAGAAAAATGAAATTACAATGATCAGATAGAACGAAAGCAAAATGATATCATGAAAAAAAATAAATCCAAATCAAAAGAGAGAAAAAGAAAAAAAAGAAAATTCAAAAGAAATTCCTAAAAAGAAAGAAAGACGATCGAAAAAGTGAAGTTACAATTGCCAGAAAGAACGAAAGGAAAGAAACATCGTGAAAGGGAAAAAGAAACAAAGAAAGAATGAAAGATTTGTTTGTGGTGTAAAGATAAAGAGATGATGTGAGAGAAATAGAGAGGGAAAAATAGAGAAATAGAGAGGGAAAAATAGAGAGATAGAGAGGGAAAAATAGAGAGATAGAGAGGGAAAAATAGAGAGATAGAGAGGGAAAAATAGAGAGATAGAGAGGGAAAAATAGAGAAATAGAGAGGGAAAAATAGAGAAATAGAGAGGGAAAAATAGAGAAATAGAGAGAGAAAAATAGAAAAAGAAGAAGCTGAAAAATAAGAAATAGAGAGGGAAAAATGATTTAAACCAATAGAAAAAAAAGCTGGAGCAAAATTTAAACCTAAAAAAAAAAGGAGCGTCATGTAATGAGAGAATCGCAATCGTATAGGAAAGGAGTTTGAATTTGATGAAGAGTGAAAGAATTAGAAAAGAAATTCCAGAGAAGAGAAAAACAAAGGGAAAATCAAAAAAGAGAAAAGAACATACACACACACGCACACAAACACATACATATATATATATGGAGAGAGAGTCGGGGGGGGTGAGAGAGAAAGAGAAGGAGAGAAAGAGGGGTAGGTAGAGAGGGAGAGGAAGAGAGAGAGAGAAAGAGGGAGATAAAGAGAGAGAGGGAGACAGAAAGAGAGAGAAAGAGGGAGAGAAAGAGAGGAAGAGAGAAAAAGAGGGAGAGAGAGAAAGAGGGAGAGAAAGAGAAAGGGTTTGAGTGAGTGAGAAAGAGGTAGTGAGAGAGCGAGCAAGAGAGAGAGAAAGAAAATTCGTCCTATTTGGGGTGGTTTCAAGTCTCTTTGAACAACGCCAAAGTTTTATATTTTTCTCCGCACACAAGCTTATTGTGCATGTCCGTTTGAGAACGAATGTCGTCCCGTTTTGTGTTTATATATATATATATATATATGTGCTCAATATCAGAGATAGAGCGTATGTAAATATAAATATAAAAGTGAACATTGAAGTCAACACTCAGAGACAACAGGTGGCCTGACGATTGCGTCCAGCATGAAACAGCCTGTCGCCTCTGAGTGTTGACTTCAATTTTCACTTTTATATTTATATTTACATACGCTCTATCTCTGATATTGAGCACTTTATTCCATAAATATAGCACAACATAAAACTATATTTCTTTTTCTGAGTATTAGAGAATATGAGAGAAAAAAAATATTGTGAAGAGTGAACAATAATAAAAAAACTAAAAATGGAGACAGTGGAAAATGTTGATTATCATAGTTAATTCGGAAGCAAGAAGCTAGAAATATTTCCACATGCGAGAAGTGCGATAGAAGAAACTGTTAGCATAGAACTTACGGTTATGTGTAACTATTCCAGCGCCAATCTAGTACTGCACTGAAATTCGTAAAGTCTAGGTACCATCGGCTGATGGTCCTGTAGTTCTGGCACTGGTGGATGTTTCCTTTTTGGGGCATGGAGATTGTAAGTAAATAGATGAACACAATACAGTTGGGACATGTACAACTATCAAGTTTGATTGATGGAGACTCAGCATCAACGAGGACATTTTGATCGCTTCCTATGTTGAGGAAAGAGTTG